CTAGCGGAGGTCCCGGGGTCGGAGGGAATTGTTGGGTGTCCTTTGCTCTTGTTTCAGGTAACAAGATGTGTATATATAGAATGAATTTATTTTATATATATATACATATACAAATGTAGTCTAAACACTTAAAATAAAGCCCTTAGGTACCGTTTGACAAAGGGTTAAGTGAGGAGTTAAAGGAGACTTAACCCCTTCTTAACCTGCCAAACACAACAAATCTATATAAGGGTTAAAGTGAGTTAACCCTCCATAATTTGCCAAACATAAAAAATATAGAAGGGTTAAGTTAACCCCTCTAGAGGGGTTAAAATGAGTTAACCCCTCAAAATGAGGGGTTTACTAATACTCCTATTTAGATGGAATAAGAGTCAACCCTTCTAATTATAAAGAAAATAGTCAAAATCATTGTTATTCTCAAACACTAAAACTGATCATAATGGCTAAAATAAAACTTATTTAACGGGTTAATAATTTAGTCCTTCGGATTATTAAATGGGCTAAGTACATTTTTGAGCTGAAAAAGCAGGGTTAAAAGCCCTGCTCATAAAAAACTATTATTATTTAGAAACAAAGATAAAAACAGATACAAAAGAGCATCACAAACTAGATGTAGAACCAGTGAGAATGCAGTAGGTAAGGAGCGGACATATGTCGTCACCTACCAAACTGTACCCACATCGATTCTACTTAGGTAGCTGGTGCAAAATACATAATTACAAAAGAGGATAAAGAGCAACCTGCTAGAACAACAAACAGTAGCAGTTTTCCAAAGTAATGGATGCAGAAACAGTTTTCAAAATATAACAACCTAGTTGATAGGAGAAGCAACTACAGATTTCCAAAATAAGGGGGGGTGTCCTTATCCAACAGCAGCTATGGAGAGTCCTGAGTTGGGGAGCTTGGTGTGAGGTTGTCCCCATCTGCCTTGACAATCCTGTTAGCAAGCTCCTGAAGTCCGATGTTAGATGCAGCCCTACGCAGTCTCCTTGCAAGCCTCTCATCTGCAGCACCTGTCCAAAATATGGTATATCTCCCAATATTAGAAGCAATGTGAAGAGGATTAGATTAACTATCCTTGAAAATAAGATCATTTCTACTGAACCAGATCCACCAGCAAGAACAGGGCAGCAGAATTTTCCAAATGGTTTTAATGTCCGAACACAGATTGGGAGATTTGTGGAACATTATCAGCTCCTCTATGGTCTCTGGCCAGCAGATTGTTGGAACAGAGGGAAGGATGATGGACCATATAGCACGAGCAAAGGAACATTTAAGGAAGATGTGTTCGTGTGTTTCTACTTCCGATTTGCAAAAAGCACATCTCGGATCGCCTGCCCAACCCTTGTGGATCAGATTTGCTTTCGTATTCAGTTTCTTATTGGAGATGATCCAGAATAGCACTTTCACCTTGGATGGAATAGGAGATTTCCAAATCAATTTTGAAAATTTGGATTTAATGCCCCCTGAGTTGACGAAGGAGTAATAGGACTTAACTGAGAAAGTCCCCGATGGTAGGAGCATCCACCAGAGTTCATCTGGTTCCGAAGTGATATTAATATTTGAAGATGTTAGAAGGGAGAGGAGGTGGTTGAGATCTGACCTTTCTGAGTGTGAAATACCTCTTCTAGTGAGAGGGTGCCATGACCAAGCATTGTTAATCATTCTTCCTTGGAATCTGATACAGCAGCTCTGTGAGAGAGCTAAGTTGAAAGCTTTTGGAAATAAGCTGCATAGGGAATTTTCCGAGGACCATTTATCATGCCAGAAATTTCCAGTTCTTCCATCACCAATGTTCCATTTAACCAAATTGAAAAAAGTTGTTTGAATGGAGGATAGGTCTTTGAAGAAACTTGAAGCCGTGCTCTTAATGGGATGAGCAAAGGGGTTAGACCCATCTTTGGAGTAGACAGAGAAAAAGACTTTGCTGATGTGAGAATTTCTATCAAAAATTTTCCATAGCCATTTAGATAGGAGAGCTTTGTTGAAATTTACAATGTCTAGAACCCCAAGACCTCCTTCATCTTTGGATTTACAGACTTTACCCCAGCTTATGATGCATTTGATTTTTGAGGGATTGTGGCTTCCATTCCAAAGAAAGTTTCTTCTTATTCTGTCTATCGCCTTGATTAACCACTGAGGCAGCTTAAAAAAAGACATGTAGTATAAGGGGAGAGTAGATAACACAGAGTTTAGGAGAGTTAACCTTCCACCTATGGAGAGAGATTTGTTTTTCCATAATGAAAGCTTCTTGGTGAATGATTCAAGGAGAGGTTGCCACTCTCTTTTGGATAGAGAGCCTCTTTTGAGAGGGAGTCCCAAGTATGAGAATGGGAGAGAACCGACTGAACAACTAAGTATCTTAGCAAGCATTTTCCCTTTGTGAGGAATTTTGCCAAGGTAAAACAGATTTGATTTCTGGTGATTAACATGAAGGCCAGATATATTAGCAAAAATGTGAAGAATAGCGTTTAAGGTGGCCATATCAGAGGGGGTGGCTTTGGAGAAAATTATGGTATCGTCCGCAAACTGTATCAACCTAATGGAGTTTAACTGCCCTTTCAAATTTAGGTCAGATAGATCCCCCGAAGCTGCACTGCGATACGACAATTTACTGAGAACATCAGCCACCAAAAGGAAAAGTAGAGGTGATAAGGGGTCTCCTTGTTTGAGACCTCTAAAGCATCGAAAGAATTTTGTAGGGGAACCATTAACTAGAACAGCTGATTTTGAAGAGGATAGAATGTATTGGATCCAGAGGCACCATTTGGGGCCAAAGCCTCTAGCTTTGAGAAGGGACAAAAGGAAAGACCAGTTCACACAGTCGAAGGCCTTATAGAAGTCTACCTTAAAGGCACATACTTCTTTTTTCCCCGATGAACAGAAGTTAACCATTTCATGACCTAGGAGAAAAGAGTCCAGAGATGATTTCCCTGCTTGAAAGGCAGACTGAGAATTATCAATGAGATTGTGAAGGACTTTTTTAAGTCTATTAGCCAAAATTTTGGAAAAGATCTTACAAGAACTGTTGATAAGACTAATTGGACGAAAGTCTATAGGAGAAGAAGCTCCCTCTTTTTTGGGTATAAGACAAATGTGAGAGTAATTGATGTTATTTAAACATTGGGGATGAGAATATATCCCTTGAATGAATTCAATCACATCTGCTTGAACAACTGGCCAGAATCTTTGGAAGAAAAGGATGGGGAGCCCATCGGGCCCTGGGGATTTATCAGGATTGAGGTCAAAAACAGCCTCTGTGATCTCTTGGGGAGAGAAGGGAAGGTCAAGAGAAGATAGATCAAAGTTTTCGTTTGGGTATAGTGTACTCCAGTTGGGAGAGAGTCTGGAAACTGGAGCTTGGCCAAAGAGATTGGAGAAAAATGAGAAAAAAGAATCTTTGATGGCACTGTCTGATGAGATGATGGAATCATTGATAAGAAGGTGAGGAATAAAAATTTTTCTGCGGTGGTATGAAGCAACCTTATGGAAAAAATCGGAGTTATTATCTCCTTCTTTCAACCATTGAATACGAGACCTTTGTTTCCATTTTATTTCTTCTGCTTTGGCCAGGGAAAGAATTTGGTCTTTCATATCTGATCTAAGCTGAATCTCTTGAGGGGAAAGATTTCTAGACTCCTCACAGATGTTAAGGGCATGAATTTGAGATGACAGATTGGAGATGGACTGAGATAAAGAACCAAAACAGGATTTTTTCCACCATTTAATTCTTTTTTTGATGAGTTTGAGTTTGAGAAGAAGAGGGACTTGGTTGTCATTTTTCAGAGTGAAAGATTTCCAACTGGATACTATGAAGTTTGGGAAGGATGGGAGAGATAGCCACATTTTTTCAAATCTAAAAGGAGGGGAGAGGAAAGAGGAGGAATTAGTGTCTAACATGATAGGGCAGTGGTCAGAGCACCCAGATGGAAAGGTGAACTGAACCATGTGAGGAAATTTGGATTTAAAGTCTATGGAGACTAAGAATCTGTCCAATCTTGCAAGCGATGGGAAGGGTCTATGATTAGACCAAGTGAATTTCCTCCCACTTAGGGGAAGATCAAAGAGGTTGATAGATTCAACAAGCTTTTGAAAAACTTTGATGTCTCTAATAGAACTAGAACGACCACTTCTTTCATCTGTGCTAAGAGTCATGTTGAAATCACCGAAAACCACCCATGGGAGAGAATGGGATCCTCTAATTCTATCTAATTCCCACCAGCAGACTTCCCTCTCAGACGAGTCACATGGAGCATAGATGGTTGTGGCTACAAATCTCCAATTAGAGGGTCTGTGGGTAAGAGTAGCCGATACAGAGAATATGTCGATTGATGATGAAGAACAGGAGAAAAGATCATCGTCCCACCCCAAAAGAACTCCACCTCTAGAATCAGTGGCGTCAAGGGAAATCCAAGATGAAATATTTCTACCCCCGAGGGATTTTAGGAGGAAGGAACTGAGAGAAGACAATTTCGACTCTTGCAATCCAACCAGATTAACTTTGGCCAAGGATAGGCACTCTCTAACCAATCTACGTTTGGATGGTTTGTTTAAACCTCTAACGTTCCAGGAGCCTAAACGCATAGAGACAGGCTAGATACAACTTGGAAGGAGAGGGATACTCAAGAAGATGGGACTACCCCAGACATCAAATTTTGGATTTCAAGCAAACCTAGCGGGTCTATCGGTTCTTGAATGCCACAATTAACAGAGATTTCCTCCAATTTCTCTAGCTCGCTGGAATGGATGGGAGGAGTGGAGACAGAGGATGAAGACTTAGATTTAGATATACCTGAGTGCTTACCCTTCTTCATCTTGGAAAGATGCTTCTTGAGAGGCAGCGTCATGTGGAGTCCACTACTAGCTTTCTTTTTGACCCTTTTGGCTTTACTTTTAGCGTTCTCAAAGCCTGGAGGGGGATCAGTGGTAGAAACATGCTCCGTCGATTCTGAAGAGCTGACCTGAATGGGGGGGGGGGGGGAGGGGGGAGAATTGAATCTTCTTCTAGGTTGGGGAAGGCTGCGTTGAGTGCGGCCCATGATTCTCTGGAGATATTGATAGAGATACCTTTGAAAGAGACTGTAATCAGATCTGGGGGGTCCCCTGGGCCTGCTTCGAAGGAGGGAGTAGGTTGAGGACCACTATCTTCGATCATGATACTTTTACCTTTTGGGTCCAGCTGAAGAGGAGGAACTAGTGGGTGGGGTAGATTGATGTCCTCTGAGGGGGATGGCTGGTTTGTCCCTGCTGGAGGGGGGCCTAAGAGCAGAGGATGGGGTTCCCTCTCTACGGACAAAAGCTTCGAATAGATCTCTATCTTTGCCTTGTTCCGCGGGAAGAGGGTCCCCAGCCACTCTAAGCTTGACCGAACCTTCCAAAATATGAACTTCGTTGGGGGATTCGAACCGGAAGATAATTTCTTGAGGGATTTCAGAAGGTTCCCAAACATGCAGCATAGCTTTACAGACCTTGGCTTCTCTCTTGAGCAAGACATCATCAGAAAAGGCTATGACATCTCCTATGTCAATAAGAATGTTGGTAATAAACTCCGAGTCCTATAGATGAATGGGAAGATGAAGGATCTCAACCCATACGTAAAAGAACTTTGGAAGGACTTTGAGGCCTGACAATTCAGACCACCGGGAAAAGACGCCCCCAAAGCTTCCCATATCGAAGAAAGGTTTGGAGCATGCGAGGTTCAGGGTCTCCTTGTCGGGAAACTGGATGAAGAATGATGAAGCCATTGATTGCCTGATCACATAGGACCATTTCTCTACCTTGAAATGAGGCTGAGGGTAGAATAGATGGTGGAATACTCAGTAAAGTTGGTTTCTTGCGGTTAGGGCAGCAAACTGAGGTGTGACCAACAAGGTTGCAAGCAAAGCATTTGAAATCCCCCAAGGAGCAATATTTCGCCATGTGACCTGGGTGTCCACAAAGGTAGCACCTTGGGGATTTCGGAGGGGAAAGGGACTTGTTGGAAGAAGCTACTAATCTTGGCCTTTTGGCTTTCTTCCTATAGGAAACTGTGGTCCAACCTAGATCAGGGATAGGGAGAAGACCTTTGGATGAAGATGAGGGGACGAGAGGATTCGGAACTGCCTTTGGACCCTTAAGGATGTCTGCAAAAGAGGGTTTGGAAGAGGGCGCAAGGTTCTTAGGTGGGTAAAAAGGGGATGAAGATGAAGGCAAAAGGGATTTTTGATGTTGAGGGAGAGAAGATGAGAGGCCTGGAATTGAGGTTTGGGGGTGAAGGGGTGGCGCAGAAGGCGGAGAGAGGGATGAAGGAGGGGAAATTGTGATCTTACCGCCTATGAAAAACACATTTCTTCTCCTCGGGTCCTGAACCGCCGCCTGGTCACGTCCCGCGTTGAATCGCCTTGGAAATCACCTTTGCCCTTGCTCCATCCCAAAGCGTACGGAGCCCCTAATTCTTATGGGCTAAGTACATTAATTTTTCTCTTTAACCCCTTTTCATTAACCCTTTGCCAAACGGGGCCTTAATTATTATCTCTACAAGTTTTTTTATATTCACGTGTTTGGAATATTATATTCACTTCATTTTTTGTATTCTAAATACTTTCGAGCAGAAGACTCCACTGCGGCGTCATCCGACATATATACAGCCCTTAATTAATTTTTCTTCATCTATTAATTATAATCTCCTCATTTTTTTTCTAATTGCTTGAACAATTCACAGGTAACAAGGCTAGCTTGCGGCGGTTTCTGGTCGCCGTCCGCCTCAACACCGATGGCCGACGCCCAGGGCTTCTCCAATTCCTCCACGCCGTCGGCGAGCTCGCCGCGCGCACGTCCCCCAACCATCGCCCCCATCCTGGTCACGTGACCTCCTCGGGCCGCGATCCCGCGCATAACGCACGTGCACGCATTGATGTTCGAGCCGATCCCTGATCCCGACCGCATCCAGTTCCCCCCCGACGCAAAACTAGTCCACAGGTCCTTCTTCTTCGGACCCGAGCAAATCTCAGCACTCAAAAGTCACGTGCCGTTCACGTGCACGTCGTTCGAGGTCGTCGCGGCGTGCACTTGGCGTGCGCGCGCTGTAGCTTTGGGTATGGACCCGAACGACGAGCTCAGGTTCATGTTCAATATAAACGTTAGGTCCAAAATGAACCCCCCGTTACCTGAAGGCTACTACGGAAATGTGTTCGTATATCCTGCGATAGTGACAACCGCTGAAAGACTGTGTAACGGTCCGTTAAGTTACGCCGTTGACTTGGTTCAGAAGGCGAAGGCGAAGGCAACCGACGGCTACATAAAGTCAACGCCGATTCATGGCGACGAAGGGGCGGCCGCCGTTCACTATGAACGGGCGAGGGTTTTAACTTCGTGGTCGGGACAACAACGCGTGGCCGGGTTCGCCGACGTGGACTACGGGTGGGGCGGCCGTGTACGGCGTCCCGGCGGCCGGAGGGTTCGACCATGCGGGTGTCCTGAGCCTTCTACCTGGCCTTCATGAATCGTCATGAAAGGGAGAGAAGGGGACTGTGTGCCTATGTGTTTGCCTGGAGTGTTATGGAGAGATTTGGCATGAAATGAGAGGTCGCGTTAATGCGAAACTTTAGAGCGAGAGAGAGCGATGTGAGTCGTGGCATGCTGAGATTGGGTTTTGAGGCTTGGCTAGTCTAAGGGGAGTATTGTGCAAGAGACTTATGCGGGGTGTGTTGCATGCAAATGTTGTGTTTGAGATCGTGAGTGTTAGTGTTCTTTATGTGTGTGATCGATGGCGAGTAGATAAAAAAAAAAAAGGCGTTTGCTTTTAACCCATTTGTTTATTCATTATCTTGTAAAACCCAAGTACTATTATTTTGTATCTTTAGCAAATTCACTTTTTGTATTTATTCTTTAAACTAATCTCCAAGAATACTAATTTTCACCATACTATGTATTTTATACAGAATCCCAAAATACCCATTGCCCCATAATAAACACATTCTCCTAATCTTACTCTTTTCACTCAGCTCCTAAATTAAAAACGAACCCCTTGTGGTCGATCGCCCATTCTCCAGCCGCGTCTCAGCTGCCGTTCGCCCGCCTCAGCCGCGTCGCAGCCGCCGTCGTAGTTGAGGGATTAGGGGTTGGTTGACAAAGGATTTGATCGGAGAACTTGCTGAAGGAGAAGATATTGACCTAGGTCGTTGACGAGGGATTAGGGGTTGGTTGACGAAGGATTCGGTTATATGTAAAGCCTAGTTGAAATATTGTTACTATGTATCAAAATTTCAATTAATGAAGAAATTAGTTTGGGTTATTTTGATAATGATGATTATCGATGAGAAGTAGCGTTGATTTATTGCGTTTCTATTACTTATTCTCAGTTTCTTGATTATGAGTGTTATCTTTTTTGGGAGTTGTTGGAAGTACTACCCCAATAAAAAAAGGAAAAAGAAAAAGAAAAAAAAGCTAGGCAAATGAAGGAAATACACGCATGTAAGGTGTTTGATAATTTGTCTCAGCGAGACAAGAAGGAAATACACGCATGTAAGGTGTTTGATAATTTGTCTCAGCGAGACAATATACCTAATGCATTCCTAATTAAACTCAAGTTGGCAAAAGCATGATGATAATTTGTCTCAGCGAGACAATATACCTAATGCATTCCTAATTAAACTCAAGTTGGCAAAAGCATGATGCCATGAAGTGTTCCACAAATTGCCACAGCGACACCTGCAAATAACTTGTCCACAATTTTCTCAACGCAACGGAAACCACATCTCAAATTGCTAATCATATAATTAAATACAATCGTAATTGATCTCTACTCGGTAAAAGCATGTTAAACGTGAAGCGTCTCACAAAATGCCTCAACTGAACATAGATAACATCCCAAATCGCTTACAAGCATCAACCGTATAAACATAGGTTAACGTGCTATACTTACTGGTTAACGTGCTATACTTACTGGTTAACGTGCTATACTTACAGGTTAACGTGCTATACTTACATGATAACGTGCTATACTTACAGGGTAACGTGCTATACTTACAGGGAAACGTGCTATACTTACTCCATAACGTGCTATACTTTTATTATAACGTGCTATACTTTCATGTTAACGTGCTATACTTACTGTATAACGTGCTATACTTACTCCATAACGTGCTATACTTTCAGGTTAACGTGCTATACTTCCAATATAACGTGCTATACTTTCGATATAATGTGCTATACTTTTAGGTTAACGTGCTATGCTTACAATATAATGTGCTATACTTTCGATATAATGTGCTATAGTTTTGATATAACGTGTTATGCTTTCACGTTAACGTGCTATACTTATAATATAACATGTTATACTTACGATATAACGTGCTATATTTACTCCATAACGTGCTATGCTTACTTTATAACGTGTTATACTTACAATATAACATGTTATACTTTCGGTATAACGTGCTATACTTTCGATATAACGTGCTATACTTACTGTATAACATGCTATACTTACTCCATAACATGTTATACTTTCAGGTTAACGTGCTATACTTATAATATAACGTGCTATACTTTCGATATATCGTGCTATACTTTCAGGTTAACGTGCTATACTTATAATATAATGTCCTATACTTATAATATAACGTGCTATACTTACTCCATAACGTGCTATACTTTCGATATAACGTGCTATACTTTCAGGTTAACGTGCTATACTTATAATATAACGTGCTATACTTTTGATATAACGTGCTATACTTTCAATATAACGTGTTATACTTACAATATAATGTGCTATACTTACTGTATAACGTGATATACTTACAATTGACAAATAACAACAGTAATCATGTGTGTGAGAACAAAAGGAGCAAAGAAAATACAACATTGCATATCCAGGAGATTGACAAACTATATACAACATTGCATTTCCAGACAAACTATATACAACATTGTATATCCAGGATGTTGATAGTGATAACGTAATCAGAACTCTAGCATTGAATCAAGTGGATATAACATAATCAAGTGATGAAGTAATCAGAATTCTTCCACAAAATTTTGCATTTCCAGCGAAAAAAATCAAGGACTTAGAAGCCTGCAAAACTTTACATTTTCAGAACATACAACTTTGCATTTCCAGCACTTTGCATTGCCAAAAACAATCAAGTAATCAGAACTCTGCCACAGAACTTTGCATTTCCAGCACATACAACATGCAAACAATGGCTATAGTGGCTATAATCTAAGTTAACCACAGAACTTTGCATTTCCATCAATATCAATGACTTAGAAAAGCATGCAAAACTTTACATAACCCAGGAAGTTAACCACAATGGCTATAATCTACCACAGAAAACACAAAACACCATGGACTACATAATCAACATATATTTATACAAATACTTTACAAATCAATTTCCAAAATATAGATGTACACAAAAAAAATTGGATATCACAATTGGCATCTAGCATCCGTGGAATTGGTCTTGAGGATCATGTTGGTTGATTTCCTGAAAGCAAAATATAAGCGGATCAAAAGAATAATAGACTGAATATAAGCGTTTCAATGAACATTATACTTATAGAAAATATACATTCAGATAGAAATAAAGCAACAATACAAGCTCTATGTCTTGAACAATCCTCTTGAACAATACAAGCTCTATATCAATGAAATGAAGTTAGGAGTGGGAAAATAATCTTATGAAGTTCTTGGAATCGAGTTGTCGTTATTGGCTTAAACATTCGATCCACACTCGACGGGTTATTTTCATTGATGCATCTCCAAAACCATGTCAGTCATACCCAGAATCAAACTACCACTATATCATATGCAACAACAATTTAGAACTAATATTAATAGAACCAATGATGATCCATCTCCAATATGAAACTTATCAATATCATCTACCACATCCCAGAACCAAAACTAATCATATTAACAACAAACATCATCTCTCCCTAATTAATGAACCCAGGATCACATAACTTTTATAAATTTATCACAATATCTCAAATTTCCAATTCTGTCCATCACCTCCAAATGAAAATGAAATCAAACTTCATCCACATAAAAAGAAGTTCCCATATCAAATTAATACAGAACCCATCTCAACCTATGAAATCCTCACTCAATATATCATTTTTCAGATTAAAACAATCAAAATCCAACTCATATTTATAACATGCAAGGCTGGCACAAAGTTTTTTAAAAAAATCAAATTAGAACTTACCCAATTGAGCAAAATCAGCTTGACGGCAACGACAACGGCGAGGTCGACGGCGGTGGACGACGACTGGGACGGGCGAGATCTGTTTCGATGGCGATGATGACTGGGACGGTGGACGACGGGCGACATGGCGGTTCGTGCGAGCTTTCGACGGGCAACACGACAACGGCCGAACGGGTCGACGGCGGTGGGACGACGACTGGGACGGGCGAGATCTGTTTTCGATGGCGATGATGACTGGGACGGTGGACGACGGGCGACATGGCGGTTCGTGGGCGACACCGGCGGCGGTGGGCGACGCGCGACACTGTGGCCGTGGCAAACCAGGCGACACGGCGGTTCATGGTCATTTTGGGAATTTAGGGCTCGTTTTGGGAATTTAGGGCCGAGAGAGAAAGGAGAAAATTATGAGAGAGATTTTGGTTTATATTTGGCAATGAAAGCAGTATTTTTGGTTTTTTACCTCCATGGTGTATAAATACAAGTGGTGAAAATATAGTATTTTAAAGATTGAGTTTAAAGATAAATACAAAAGGTGAATTGGGCTTAAAGATACAAATAATAGTACTTGGGTTTAAAGATAAATGAGAGTAAACAAATGAGTCTAAAAGCAAAAACCCCTTAAAAAAAGGTGTGATGATTTGGGAGTGATGCATGCCTTATGGGATTTTATTGCCTTGTAAAATACAACATGTAATGTGATAAAAGTATGCGCTTTGAGTAAGTTTTGCATTAAAATATTTTTGTGCTTGGGAGCACATATTGCACAATTGCGTGAAGAGTAATTATTTAACGAGAAAATTGTTAAAGAGGACACGGCTCATCTTTATCACTAGAGTAGCACTAGGGGTACATTCCTAACCACAACTTCAATCACATCCTCTCTCTCATTTGCTACAATGCACCGGGCTCTACATTGGATTTTAAAAATTTAAAATCATATATGGGACCCGGTGCACTGTAGCAAATGAGAGAGAGGGTATGGTTGGAGTTGCGGTTGGTGGTGTGCCCCTATCATTTTCCTTACCACTAGACTATAATAAAGAGAATGTGAAATAGAAAAATAGTAATACCCAAACAAAAAATAATATAAATTAATAAAACTGGGCTTAAATACTTGGAAATGAAAGATATTTGACCATAAGAATGAGCTAGTGATATAATAGTATGTAATGACGCTATCTTTAAAATGAACAAATAATTACAATATTAAGAAATATCTTAACGGATTGATCTCTTTCACTTTATTCTTCTTACTATTCTGTAAATGACCCAGTATTGGGAAGTAAAATATGTGA